CACGATAGCTGTATCAAGGTACAGCTATCGTGCTGTGACGGTTCCACCTGAAGACGGAAGCTTGTGTTGCCTCCGAAACGTCGTGATTTTTATTTCATTTTTATTTTACTTTTATTAATTTTTATTTTTTATCTACGTGACTTTAACGAAAAAACCTAAAAATATGGATTAATCTTCTTCTTGGTTCTTTCGGTAAAGTCTTTACCGAAAGAACCAAGAAGATGAATCCCTGCAGTCACGAAAGCTTTAAATCGAAATGGATTAATCTTGCCTCATATTTAAGAAAGGAAAATTCTTCAATCAAATTATTCCCTCCTGCTGCCGCTAACAACCGAGTGAGCTGGATGGACCGAATCCCCCAACCTCCCGCCTCGTTTATAATCTTTCTCACGTTCTGATGTCCACTCGACCTATACAATGTGCACTCGCAAATGGTCGTCAATGTCACCACTAGAACTGCTAGCCACATTCCCGCTTTGCGAGGCCCTGCCAGCCACGATGAAGTTCACGATCACCTCCAGTATTTTCCCCCAACCCCCCCCCCCAAACCCACCGCATCGCCTAAGCAGAGTTATAATATCAAAGGGCTTCTAATGTTTGCACTCAAACTGACAGGGCGCACCTGCCCTGGCACATTAGCAATGCTCACCTGCCGCGTGCCTCAGGCGAGCGTGGCCGCAGCTGTATTTGCATCTGTGTTTGCATTCATCCACAGAGACAGAAACACAGCGTGTGCACGACAGTGAGCGCTAGAAATACTCGGTCATCATCTCGCGGCTATTTCTGAGCACGTGGAGTTGATAATCGAGCTGTTTGTTGTATGTATACACGTGGGTCACTCGGCGTTGGACAATGTGCTTTTTTATTTTGAAAATAACAACAAAGTCAACTCGTTTTTTGTCGATGTCGCCGCCTTAAAAATTGAAATAGATAGCAGGCGACGTTTCAAGCAATGGCCCTTCTTCGTAGCACGTAAAAAAATGTTTTACTTTTTTGTTTAGAAGGACCATTACCCGAAACGTCACGTATATATTTTTTTCTTTTTTAGTCCTTATTTACAAACGTGTTGAGTGTTGTGTTAATTGTGCGTGTGCACTACTGCCGACGCAGCAGCAGCATCACCAAATAATTTGTTTAACATTTGTAGATTGTTCTGACAATTGCATGCATCTACTGCCATGCACGTGAAGTGTGTGTGTGTATATACTCAACATATGTTGTTTTTTAAAGGAAGATCTGTCAAAATACAAGGTGCAGGGTACAATGTTTTTAGATTTAAAGAATTGGGTATAACATTTAAAAAATTGTCAACATTTAATGTCTTTGCTTGGCCATAATAAAAATATGAGACACTTATAAAAATATAAAATATTATAATTAACTTATATTGTTTCAAGGCAAAACATATGTAATAGTAATATTGATAATTTACAGACCTTTGCCAACCTACTGTTGAGGGAAGGCCTCATCACACCATGTCAATCATGGGGGTTGTTGTTTGACCATACTTCACCACGCTGGTCAGTATGGTTTGTCAAAACTGACCCACGGGACCACTTCAGATATTACTCGCCACCGATGTCAACTGTGACCATGAATCGAACTCAACATACACCGGGTTCGTAGGAGCAGTGCGCTAACTTCTACTGATCCACCCCGTGACCCCCGCTCAACAAAAAGTGCCGTATACGTTGCTGAATGATCATTGTAAAATATTCGTTGAATATTAAACATTTACACACAAAGAGACGGAGACACACGGTGTCCACAAAAGAGCAATAATTTTAAGGCGTTTCTTAAAACTTAAATGTATTTTGGCTGCTAAATACATCGAGGCATCTCAAAAATATATCAACTTCATCTTCTTGGTTCTTTCGGTAAAGTCACGTAGAAGGGAAATAATAAAATAATAAAAATAAAACATTATAAAATAATTCTCACGACGTTTCGGCCACAACGCAAGCAGCCATCCTCAGGTGAAGAACAGGTCTGTCGGACGCTGTCTCCCCGACAGACCTGGCCTTCACCTGAGGACGGCTGCTTGCGTTGTGGCCGAAACGTCGTGAGAATTATTTTATTATGTTTTATTTTTATTATTTTATTACTTCCCTTCTACGTGACTTTACCGAAAGAACCAAGCAGATGAATCCCTGCAGCCACGAAAGTTTTAAATCGAAATATATCAACTTGCTCGCGACAAGAACAAAAACGTTGACTTCAACTCTCAATCCTGATACTTTCCGCACATATTGGCCTTCACAGACACGCACACACACACACACACACTTGACTTCGTCGAGCATTTCAAAGGGAAAAGAAGCAACAATGAAGCGTGTCCACAAACAAAACAGGTAAAGCGATCCACGCGGGGGGGTGGGGGAGGAGAGAGTTCATTGTCCGCGATCACTTCTCGGGGTCAGCTGGGGTCAACCGGCCCAGCGAGTTGCCGCCCCACCGCATGAAAGGCATTCCTCCGAGTTGACCTGAACCCTGGCGAATCCACGCCAACCGATCCAATCCGCTCCGGTTACCTGTTACCGATGGCCTTCGGTTTTTTTTTTGGTGTTTTTAGCGTGCGCGTCTGTACCCATCGCAGCAGTGTATACGTTTCGTGAAATTGCGAGTGTGGGGGGGGGGGGGGGTGTAGCGGTTAGCGCCAGTGCCGGATTAAGCTAGTGCGGGGCCTGTAGCATTATGTTATAAAGAGGCCCTTAATTAAATAAATATATATTTAAACACGTACATTTATAACTTTCATAGTAAAGCATTTGCATTTTTTCATTTGCTATACAGCCAGATAATATGAGACATCGCTAACCTTAAACACCCAGTCGTTCGTAAAAGTTGAATGCAGTATAGTACTATAGTAATAGAGCAAGTGCGGAATCACTGAACCGGAATTGATAGCTTGAAAGCATTTAGCGCGGGGCCCTTGAAAGTGCGGGACCCATAACTACTACACGTGCAGCTACTACACGTGCAGCTACTACACGTGCAGCTACTACACGTGCAGCTACTACACGTGCAGCTACTACACGTGTAGCTACTACATATGTAGCTACTTGTGCTACTGGAATAATCCGGCACTGGTTAGCGTGCTGTTCTACGAACCCGGCCACCCGAGTTCGTTTCCCGCTCACGGCCAACGCCAGTGACGATTATGTGAAACGGTTCTGGGCCTCCCCTATGTCGACTCAGCCTCAAATGAGTACCTGATGCGGGGGTGTAAAACATCGCCACTAGGGCGTTGGCCACCCACCCCCTCGTGAGCAGTGCCGGCCTCAACTGGTGCTCACTAACAGAACTTGCCCCAACAGTCTGTTACAGGCTATACAGGGGAGCTTTGTCTTTGTGTAAATAAGTGTATTTGTGTGTGTGTGTGAGGAGCGGGTGGTCTGACGGTTAGCGCGCTGCGTTACGAACCAGGCGACCAGAATTCGATTCCCGCTCACGGCCGACACCAGCGATGATTATCTGAACTGATTCTGGGCCTCCTCTAGGTTGACTCAGCCTCAAAATAAGTACCTGGTGCTGTGTGCAAACATCGCCACTGGGCGTGGTGCTGGCCACCTACCAGAGGTCGCAAACGGGTTTTGATTCCTTACCCGTACCCATACCCGGCCGCACCAGGGTCGCAAACGGGTACCCGTACCTAGCCGTACCCGTACCCTACCCGGGTAGGGTACGGGTGTCGGGTACCTGATTGCGACCTCTGGGATGAAGCCATGTTGCAGGCGCGGGTGGGTTGATTCTAGGAACTTGAATTGTGAGAAGAGACAAGACGTTGGGAAATGAGTGACAAACAGTTACTCACCAGTGACTCACGGCCTACCCGTACCCGTACCCGGCCGCACCAGGGTCGCAAACGTGTACCCGTACCCGTTCCCGGCCGGGTACGGAAAGCCGGGTATCGGGTAGGGTACGGGTATCGGGTACCCGGTTGCGACCTCTGCCACATACCTCCTTATGCGCCGGGCCACCCTTCATAGGTGCTCGCTAACCACTTTTTCCTAAAAAAAATGTTTAGGCTAAAGGGGGGATCTTTGTCTTTGTGTGTGTGCCACAGATGCCCGTCTCTCAATCCTTGCCACCACCTTGCTCATTCTATTCCTATGTAAGAGTTGGAGCCATATCAGTCACTATACCGATTCAATGGCCTGTTAATAAGACGGGGAAATGCTCATTAGAAATCAGCGGGGTATCTATAAGTGGCTCAGCCTGTGTATTTATAAAGGAGTGTATTGGTAGCTTTTGGAGGAGCGGTTTCGTGTAGTGACCTTAGTTTGAGTCCCAGCCAGGGCTAACATCAGTGGTGATGTGTAAACCTGTCCTGGGTTCCACCCCTTCACCAACCCACACTGGCCAGTATGGTGAAGTATGGTAAAAAAATATCCACGACCAAAGAGTCCTTTATTCAGCAATGAATTGACAAAAGGTATGAAAATTATAATTCATTATAATAATTATCTGAGACAGAATAAGTGTCTACATGTCATTCAATCATCATTTTCATCATCATTATCATCATCATTATCAACTTTATTTAAGCCAGGTGAGAGAGCCCATTAAGAGGAAATGTATCTTTTCCAATGCAGACCTGGGTAACTGATCAGAATCAGAATCTTTATATATCCCGGAGAAAATCCGATGAACTCCGAAGCTCTTTTTTACAGACGTCCAGACGGAACGGGTGCACATCTAAAGCAATAGTTCAAACATCGTCAGCAACCCCCAATCAAAACGCAACGTGCAACAACTAGCATCGGTGTTAAATCATAACGTATAACTGAAATTCAATAACGATACGTTCTATGCGGCACAGGGCATAGTTCAAAAGCGCTTGATATCGGGATATCAGTCTGGCTAAGTAAAGGATTGCTGCTCGATCAATCTAAGACATGGCTAACACCCCCCTTCATCCCCTCTCCCATTCCAAATGGCTATCCCCAACCTCCCCCACCTCTTTCTCTCTTCGCCACCTCTTCCCTATCTCATCCCAGGCCACGTCGGGCAACACCAGCAGCCAAGCCAATGACCTTCACGACAGCTCCTTCTGGTAAGAACCCCGGCTGCACCTCCGCTTGAGCACGGTACGGCGACGAACGGTGCGAAACAAGTCCAGCGCACGTACGGCAGACGTACGAGGTGACCATCTTCTTGGTTCTTTCGGTAAAGTCACGTAGAAGGGAAATAATAAAATAATAAAAATGTTATTAAATGATTCTCTCGACGTTTCGGCCACAACGCAAGCAGCTTAAATATACGTTGCCAAGCCTGGTGGTGTTTCATTCAGACGCTGTCTTTCCGACAGACCTGTTCTTCACCCGAGGACGGCTGCTTGCGTTGTGGCCAAAACGTCGTGAGAATTATTTTATTTTTATTATTTTATTATTTCCCTTCCACGTGACTTTACCGAAAGAACCAAGAAGATGAATCCCTGCAGTCACGAAAGCTTTGGTACGAGGTGACGTCGCCAAAATAATGCCAACCCGTAGTTTGCTTTTCCTCGGTCACCTTTATGTCAATGAAACTGATGCAAAGAAAGAAATGTAATGTTTACGTCGCGAAATGTCATGCCCCTCTTACACCGCACAGCCCCGAACAAGACCACCCCACCCCCCTCAGATTTCTATTTGTTCAGCCCGTGGAAATATATTTTACTTGCTCCACGGGCCGCACTTTGACAACGAGTACAACACACGAAAACAACTCAACACATTCCTCAATAACACTGTGGCTTTAAAAGGGGGGGAAGATATCAGAGGCGACGCGTCAGGCAATGGCCAATCTTCATCGCACAACACGCGGTGCGGTGAAACATCGCACATTGTATACTTTTCCCTTTTTAGCGCAAGTGTTATTCACGAATGTGTTGATGTTTTGTGCTTGGTAATTTGTGCTTGTGCACCGCTGCCGACGCAGCATCACCACCGAATAATGAGTTTACTTCCGTAAGGAGATGCCGATTGCACTTGGTTACACGATGCTGATGTTTTTTTTTGCCGCGATGGAATGCTATCCCTGGTTGCAAGTTGGATGCAAGTAAATCGAAAGAGGCAAACCGTGTCGAAAGACGGTCAAATGTCCCCGATATTGGCTTGGACACCCACAATTCTGTTGTCAGTTCAATGAAAAGTTATTGGGTTCAAATAAAATAATACAAATATTTTGAGATCTCTTTCAGACATCATGTGCTCTCTGCACTGGTAGGATGCTCAAATAGCAGGCCAACTAATACACCACCCACTCACACCACCCATTCACTCACACCACCCACCCACTCATCACCCAATCACACCACCCATTCACTCACACCACCCACTCACACCACCCATTTACACCACCCATTCACTCACACCACCCACTCACTCACACCACCCAATCACACCACCCATTCACTCACACCACCCACTCACTCACAACACTCACTCACACCACCCTCACACTCACAATACCCACTCACTCACACCACCCACTCACTCACACCACCCACTCACTCACACCACCCACCCACTCACACCACCCACTCACTCACACCACCCACTCACTCACACCACCCATTTACACCACCCACTCACTCACACCACCCACTCACTCACACCACCCTCCCACTCACAATACCCACTCACTCACACCACCCTCCCACTCACAATACCCACTCACTCACAATTACCCAATCACACCATTCACTCACGAACCCACCACCAACTCACTCAACCCACTCACACCACTCACTCACTCACCCCACTAACTCACATCACTCACACCACTCACTCACCCCACTAACTCACACCACCCACTCACCCCACCCACTCAATCACACCACCCACTCACCCACACCACTTACTCACCCCACTCACTCACTCACCCTACCCACTCACACCACCCACTCACACCACCCACTCACACTACCCACTCACACCACCCACTCACACCACCCACTCACACCACCCACTCACACTACCCACTCACACCACCCACTCACACCACCCACTCACACCACCCACTCACACCACCCACTCACACGACCCACTCACACCACCCACTCACACCACCCACTCACACCACCCACTCACACCACCCACTCACACCACCCACTCACACCACCCACTCACACCACCCACTCACACCACCCACTCACACCACCCACTCACACCACCCACTCACACCACCCACTCACACCACCCACTCACACCACCCACTCACACCACCCACTCACACCACCCACTCACACCACCCACTCACACCACCCACTCACACCACCCACTCACACCACCCACTCACACCACCCACTCACACCACCCACTCACACCACCCACTCACACGACCCACTCACACCACCCCACTCACACCACCCCACTCACACCACCCCACTCACACCACCCCACTCACACCACCCACTCACACCACCCACTCACACCACCCACTCACACCACCCACTCACACCACCCACTCACACCACCCACTCACACCACCCACTCACACCACCCACTCACACCACCCACTCACACCGACCCACTCACACCACCCACTCACACCACCCACTCACACCACCCACTCACACGACCCACTCACACCACCCACTCACACCACCCACTCACACCACCCACTCACACCACCCACTCACACCACCCACTCACACCACCCACTCACACCACCCACTCACACCACCCACTCACACCACCCACTCACACCACCCACTCACACCACCCACTCACACCACCCACTCACACCACCCACTCACACCACCCACTCACACCACCCACTCACACCACCCACTCACACCACCCACTCACACCACCCACTCACACCACCCACTCACACCACCCACTCACACCACCCACTCACACCACCCACTCACACCACCCACTCACACCACCCACTCACACCACCCACTCACACCACTCACTCACACCACCCACTCATACCACCCACTCACACCACCCACTCACACCACCCACTCACACCACCCACTCACACCACCCACTCACGCACCTTAGCGCAGTTTTCTTTCCGTGGGCATAAATGCAACACTGCCATATAATGTTCTAACTTCACACACACACACAATTCAATTCGTTGGAATGCTTTGCGAGCGTGAAGAATCCAACCGGATTGATGCATCACTCCGTGCCTTTATTATTAGCAGATGAAAGCGGCACAAACAGCAGCAGCAGCAGCGAGATAATATCGGTGAGGCCCCGTAGGAGCAAGGTCACGGGGGATTATGAAAACAATGACACAGATTTCGTCGCAATGCCCAGCGTGTACATGAAAAGCCAGGAGTGTGATTCAAGGACCGGTATGATTTCCATTTTATAGCTTGTTATGTCAACTTGTGCGTAAACCCGCCGCGGTGCATTACTTTATTAAAACCAATCATTACGCTTAAGGCACACAGCATGGAATCCGCTACCTGCGTTCATCATTTGCGCAAATTATTATTGTTAACATTTGACCTTAGACGCGGGGTTTGTCTTGAGGAAACTTTGCCTCACGACTGGCACTCATCCCGGTGTGTCCAACAAGACAAGTGTGTGTGTGTGTGACTTCTTTAGCACCGTACGTAAGTGGCTTCATCGGTCACTGTTACGTGTGTTCATTGGAACTCTTTGAGGAATGCAAAGTGAGCCACTGTGGTCTGCGCTCTTTCAACGGAAGAAGAACAGCTTCGGCTGTTCAGCGAACACTTTACTATAAACTGGAAATATTTTTTTATAAAGTGCGTTATGGTAACCGTAGATTAGACTTGCTTAACTTGGAAATGTTAGGCATCATGTGTTTGTTTGGTCAAACCTGCTGATTCCTAACCTGGCCATTTTATTTCTTGAAATGTTGATGTTACATTGACCGAAAACCAAAGTTTGGAATGTATTGATCTTAAACAATTGTACTACACACTCTAACATCGTTACAAATATCTTATTATTTTTTAAAGCTGTTATGGTGGCGAGTTTTTAGGCCATTTCAAGTCACTGCTGTGAGTGGAGTACATCAGTGACTTAAATGTTTGACTAATATTCGGTCACTTGTTATTAAAAACTCAAAACACAGACATTTCAACCAGAGCACTTAAGAGTTATTACAATAAACCAGGTGCGTATCTAAAAACAACGGTGATATTTGTTGTTGAAAGAAAGGAATTGGAAAGTAATCAAATGTGACACGGTACATATATACAAAAAAAAAACATTATAACACAGGTGGCAAAGAAACTTTTTTTAGCTCGGTACATGAAAGTAATTCATACATATCTGTGGGAGAGAAAATATATAATTAACATGACCCCCATTTATCATGGCCGGGTACATGTTTGCGAACATTCATCCAATGTTCGGTTGGCACAGAATACGTTCACCACACCAGATTTAACTTTTTTTGGGGGAAATTCTGCATTTCCCCTGAGAATGCTCTGAAAGGCATAAAAACACATTTTCTCTCTGGATTTTTGTTGTAATCCATTGGGCAAGCGTGGAGAGTTTGGTGGCATTTCTTTCTCTCACTCTCTGGGTGCATCTGTCTCGGTCACGCTTGGCCAGTCAACCACGGAATAGACAAACGGTTACTGGGAACTTAATTTTATTTTATACGAAGTAAGGCCCACTAGAGCTAGAGAGCTCTTTTTTTCAGAAGCGACCTGCCTGTCACAAATGACAGCTCAACGAAGTGGCTTATCACGCGGCCAAATACTCTGAACGCACGTCGATTCTAAACGTGGAGAAGAAAAATCCACACGACCACGGGGAGAACACGCGAACACCAAATATGCAGCAGGCGTCAGGGTGGGGATCGAACCCGCAACCTCCTGCACACCAGGCGAGGGAGTTAACGTGTGTCCACCACTGCGCCCCTTTAACAGCTCTTCTGCCTTCCGTGCCAACACTGGAAATGAGGACACCAAAGGCACTTTTTGTCCCTTTCTGTGCAGTATGGTCATGCAGGAGCTGCACATCTCCCAGGGTCAAGTGAGTTGCACGGAGTCGCCCCCGGGAATCAGCCTGCAGTCGTCCAGCCCAGGAACGCCCACGCAGTGCCCCGCCGGTAAGAGGGGGGGGGCGACAGCGGACACACCCCCGCGATCGACGTGGATTTGCGAGCGAACTGAACGCAGCCTCTTCTTGGTTCTTTCGGTAAAGTCACGTAGAATGGAAATAATAAAATAAAACATAATAAAATAATTCTCACGACGTTTCGGCCACAACGCAAGCAGCCGTCCTCAGGCGAAGACCAGAATTATTTTATTATTTTTTATTTTATTATTTTATTATTTCCATTCTACGTGACTTTACCGAAAGAACCAAGAAGATGAATCCCTGCAGTCACGAAAGCTTTAAATCGAAATTGAACGCAGCCTGTTGTCAAGATGCTGCAAAGCGAACGGCGATAACAAAACATTGGCGTTGTGTGGATCACTGGAGAAAGAGGTGGCTCTTACTTTCCGCGCGGTTTTTTTTTGTGTGATACTCCACTGAAGGTGGCACGCAAACATAGCAAAAACTCGACACGCTTGTCAATAGCACTGCCCTAAAGGGAGAATTATATATAATAGGAGAGGTGTCGGGGAGTGGCTCCTTCTTCATAGCAGAGAGCACGCAGCTGCGAAAGTCAGTCACAGGTAGAGGAGAATCGAAAGGTCTTGAGTGTGGACTTGAACAGGGGCAGGGAGTAGGCAGCACAAATGGCTGGGGTTGTGGGCAGGAGGGGGGGAGATGCAGACTACAGGGGCAGCCGATGAGAAGGACGAACTTCTCACTGAGCGAAGACCGACTGGTCGGTTTCGACAGAAGACTTTGCTTGCGAGAGCAGAGGAGACTGGAGAGAAGAGAGCGGAAGGTGGGGGCAAGTCCTGTAGAGCAATTTGAAAACGGTGAAGGGTGATCTTTACGGCCGAGTAAGTTTCGCAATTGTGTGCGATGAATCGCACGCGCGATTGAGTCCCGAGTCAATGTGCTCGCCGAAGGCCTCCTGTAAAGGATGCACTGGGAGCTCGGCCTGGGTCCCTGTACATTTCTTTTTATTTTACCAGGCAAGGCCCACTGAGCTGTATCGCTCTTATTCAGAAGCGACCTGGCCACAAATGAGAGCTCAACAAAGTGGCTTATCGCGTGCAACTTTCTAGCAGCCAAATACTCGAACACGCGCGTTTCTAAACGTGGGGGGGGAGGAAAAAACCGGACGACTCGAAGAAAAATCCACGCGACTGCGGGGAGAACTCCAAATATACAGCAGGCGTCAGGGTCGGGATCGAACCCACGACCTCCTGTATACCGGGCGAGGAAGGTAACATCTCCTAGTCACCGTGGCGTGCGGATGATGGCGGTGGTGCGAGGCGGCCGGGTCGCAGGGTCCCACGAACTAACGAGCCGCGTTGACGTTATCGGCAAGGGACCGCGTCCCGCCGTTGCGAGCGGTGCCGTGACCCAGAGATCCTCCTGCTGCGTGGCGAGGGGGACGCACGTGAGCCGTTGGAGTGGAGTGGAGCGAGGAGCGGGTGGATCAAAAATCGCTCGGGGTTACGAAAGTGAAAAGATATTTTTTTTTCCTCTCAAGGGACCACAGAGAGGCAAGAGGCACATTGATGATTGGGATGTTTTTTTCTTGCAGATGAACATAAAATGCTTGACCGTTTCTCTATTACTGCGTGAACGTTGATGAGCTGCACGCCGAACGACTGCGCCTTGCCCACTTTCTGTCGGCTTTAGAGTTGCATGCCACGAAAGGCAAATTACATGGTTCAAGCGAAGACGGGGATCGTATATCTGTAAGTGTTTAGCACAAGACTTAAAGAAATGTGGAACTTTAGGCTGACTGCAATAGGAGTAAAAAGCAATCATCCTCTGCAGTCATATCTGGTGTCCACCCAAAGCAGTGACTCAGCCATTTATTTATGTATAGCCCCTTCTAGAATATCACGAGAAATTCATCAGCGGGCCATGATCTCCAACGTTTAAATGTAGGAGATCATCCTGATTGAGTAATATATAGCACTAGAAATGCATCAGTGGCTTCATGATCTTCAACGTTTAGATGTAGGAGATCAATGACCCACCGATGAATTTCTAGTAATATATATTATATGTTACTCAATCAGGATTATATATGATAGTGAAACCACTTTTTGATGCTGTTTAGGCCAGGAAAAAATGGCAAAATTAGTGGTACCTCATTAATAATTTTTACGCAAAATTTATGTTGCAAAGAGCATTTGTCGTGGTGTAAATTTATACAAATTTGGAAAATTACCTCTAAATTACTCGGTTGGGATGATATACATCTGTCATCGCCCCCTACTGCAAAAAATTGCCAGGACTTTCCTGAAAAAAGTCTTCAATCAATAAATCACTCTTTATTTTATTCACCCTCAATAAAGTAGGCATCAGTGCACATTAGAGCAGAACGGGGTCGTGAAATGTTAATTACCTCGCCTGGTATACAGGAGGCTGTGGGTTCAACCCCAACTCTGACGGCTGTAAATTTGGAGTTTACATGTCTCTCTCCCCATGGTCGCATGGATTTTTCTCCGGGTCCTCCGGCTTTTCCCTCCACATTTAGAAACATGCATTTAGAGTATTGGGCTGCGATGAATGTACACGTGATAAGCCACTTCGTTGGGCGAACATTTGTGGCCAGCTCGCTTCTGAAAAAGAAACCCGTAAAAACAAAGTTTTTCACTATAAATCCTTTATATGCGTGGCATCGGTTTTATTTTATTATTCATTTCTGTTTTTCTTGAGTAAGAGTTTCATTTTTATCACATTGGTATTTTAAATTAAATATGAAAAAAAACATTTCCTAAAAAGTGGAAAATTTTGGAAAAAAAATTTCACGAAAATAAATTGTCACGCACAACGAGTCTGTGCGCAAAATGTCAGCTCGATTGGATCACGGGAAGTGGGTTAAAAAACGACCGAAAGATTTGCACGGTCGTAAGCGCGCAAGCAAGCAAGCAAGTGAACTTAATATAAAGGATTTAAAAATAGCTACAGAGATCAGTGCTGTCCAAGGATCCTGGCAGAGTACCCGCAAGAAGGTGGCTTCTCTTGTAGAGAAGCAAGCGCTGCGTTAATGATATAATTCAAACTGTTAAGAGTTGGCTGGGGCAGGGAACATCACTTAGATAGGATGATAGCCAATGGTCAAGAATAATAACAGTGGCAGCCAAGGAACGGAATACGTCAACAAGGAATCTTCTCACCGAAGAGACGGAACGGTGAAATCAGATCGCGTGCAGGCGCTGGGCAGATGATCACATCGCAGGATCATGAGAGCTCGCGTCAGCCCGAGGAGGCCATCATCCAGCAGTGGATTTCCCCTGGCTGATGATGATGGGGATGATGATGAAGACAACGCTGAGCATTACGCCAGTCCATAACACGGTGACAAGCCAGACTCCGGCAAGAATGGGCTTCCCACGCACGCTTGCGTGCAAGAAACTGAACTCTCTTTTGTGCCGTCGGCTTAAAATATTAACGAGCAGATCTTTGGCCGAGAGGGCATGGCAGACACGTGGACCAGGGCTGGGGCTTGACAAAGGGGGGCAGAGGCAGAAATGAAATGCGAATCGTCAGTAATTGAGTGGAATGGTGGAGAGGAGGGGGGGCGTGTGGGTGGCGTTCGGGCTATTAATCTAGCGGCAGAATAAAGAGTCTGATCATAAATTATGCACGCTCTGTGTCGGGGTCTGGGCGCACACGGAGGAGGCTGAGATACAGCGGGGGGGTGGGAGGGGGTGCTAACTGAGAGGTGGGGCTAGCAACGAGCTCGGACATAACAGACGAGAGGTGTGACCGAACCACGTCGCACATGCGTGTGGCTGTGGAAGCTGAGCGGAATCGGGCCCAGTTCTCGTATCTGCAATGGCAAGGGGGGAGGCTCCCCCTGGGGGACGCCACGTGTTGTTGTAATGGGGGGTTTTGGGGGTGCTGTGTGGCGAACAGAAGATGATGTGGCTTTGCAGCAGGGCTGTCGTTGAGTCTGCTTCTGTGCTTCGTTTGAGCGTCATTCCCAGAGGTCGCAAACGGGTTTTGATTCCTTACCCGTACCCGTACCCGGCCGCACCAGGGTCGCAAACGGGTACCCGTACCCGTACCCTACCCGTACCCGGCCGGGTACGGGTTGGGTACGGGTATCGGGTAGCCAATTGCGACCTCTGGGATGAAGCCATGTTGCAGGTGCGGGTGGGTTGATTCTAGGAACTTGAATTGTGAGAAGAGTCAAGACGTTGGGAAATGAGTGACAAACAGTTACTCACCAGTGACTCACGGCCTACCCGTACCCGGTACCCGGCCGCACCAGGGTCACAAACGGGTACCCGTACCCGGCCGGGTACGGGTAGCCGGGTATCGGGTAGGGTACGGGTACCTGGTTGCGACCTCTGGTCATTCCCCTCGCACGCTTGGGGGTTCTCTCTCTCTCTCGAGTATTCCGCTTTCCTCCCCACGTGCCACTCGCAGACGGGAGGAATTTGACACCAAATATTTCAAAATATGAGAGGGAAAACCAAAGGTCTTGAAACTCAATTGACGCTTACACCCTTACATAAGTGATATACAGTGCAGTATTTATCACTAGTGATTATTATTAGGCAATGGAGGCAAACCATTGCAACAGGAGTGGGAACAAAGCAAGAGGCTGAGTCGACCTAAGGGAAGCCCAGGACTGGTTCAGAGAATCGTCACTGGTGTTGGCCGTGAGCGGGAATCGAACCCGGGTCGCCAGGTTCATGGCGCAACGCGCTACACTACCGCACACTACACACACACACTACACACACACACCACACTACACACACCACACACACCACACTACACACACACACTACACACACTACACCCACACTACACACTACACACACACACACTACACACACACACTACACACACACACTACACACACACAAACCACACTACACACACACACTACACACACACACTACACACAGACTACACACACACACATCACACACACTACACACACCACACACACACACACCACACACACTACACACACGCCACACACACACCAAACCACACACACACCAC